CCTACCAACCAGTAAGAATTCCGGCTCTCACAGACCTGTTAGTTTTTCTTTAAGAAGCCCTCCTGTTCTCCACTCATTACCTGTATTAACTGCACCTGTTTGAACTCGTTACCTGTATAAAAGACACCTGTCCACACACTCAATCAAACAGACTCCAACTTCTCCACAATAGCCAAGACCAGAGAGCTGTGTAAGGACATCAGGGATACAATTGTAGACCTGCACAAGGCTGGGATCTGCTACAGGACAATAGGCAAGCAGCTTGGTGAGAAGGCAACAACTGCTGGCGCAAAAAGTTCAAGATGACGGTCAATCACCCTCGGTCTGGGGCTCCATGCAAGATCTCACCTCGTGGGGCATCAATGATCAAGAGGAAGGTGAGGGATCAGCCCAGAACTACACGGCAGGACCTGGTCAATGACCTGGTCAATGACCTGAAGAGAGTTGGGACCACAGTCTCAAAGAAAACCATTAGTAACACACTACGCCGTCATGGATTAAAATCCTGCAGCGCACGCAAGGTCCCCCTGCTCAAGCCAGCGCATGTCCAGGCCCGTCTGAAGTTTGCCAATGACCATCTGGATGATCCAGAGGATGAATGGGAGAAGGTCATGTGGTCTGATGAGACAAAAATAGAGCTTTTTGGTCTAAACTCCACTCGCCGTGTTTGGAGGAAGAAGAAGGATGAGTACAACCCCAAGAACACCATCCCAACCGTGAAGCATGGAGGTGGAAACATCATTCTTTGGGGATGCTTTTCTGCAAAGGGGACAGGACGACTGCACCGTATTGAGGGGAGGATGGATGGGGCCAAGGATCGCGAGATCTTGGCCAACAACCTCCTTCCCTCAGTAAGAGCATTGAAGATGGGTCGTGGCTGGGTCTTCCAGCATGACAACGACCCGAAACACACAGCCAGGGCAACTAAGGACTAGCTCCGTAAGAAGCATCTCAAGGTCCTGAAGTGGCCTAGCCAGTCTCCAGACCTGAACCCAATAGAAAATCTTTGGAGGGAGCTGAAAGTCCGTATTGCCCAGCAACAGCCCCGAAACCTGAAGGATCTGGAGAAGGTCTGTATGGAGAAGTGGGCCAAAATCCCTGCTGCGGTGTGTGCAAACCTGGTCAAGACCTACAGGAAACGTATGATCTCTGTAATTGCAAACAAAGGTTTCTGTACCAAATATTAAGTTCTGCTTTTCTGATGTATCAAATACTTATGTCATGCAATAAAATGCAAATGAATTACTTAAAAATCATACAATGTGATTTTCTGGATTTTTGTTTTAGATTCCGTCTCTCACAGTTGAAGTGTACCTATGATAGAAATTGCAGACCTCTACATGCTTTGTAAGTAGGAAAACCTGCAAAATCGGCAGTGTATCAAATACTTGTTCTCCCCACTGTATATGACTGCATTGCCTTCAAAGTCATTATTTAAAGATAGTCAATTAAGATTTGAAATGACCTGCATGACAATGTGGAGCTGCCATTTATGGTAAACCAATTGTTATCTGAAATTAACCGTGTTGACCTGAGAAGAACACTGGTGCCATTCATTGCGATGATGACACTGATCATTTTAAATCGCCATTAAGGATCTTGAGATTGGATTGCGCTTTTAGAACAATGTGGGTTTCTCATGCAGAGCAGTCACTGTAAGCAGTGTTGTGAGGACATCCAGTCATCCACATGGGCTAGTGGTTATCAAGGTTCAGCCCATTATATTCAACAACCCTGCCTGTTTCGTCATTAAGTTAAATTGACTTAGATTCAATACGCCGCTATGTATTCTATTCTATTAGGCGTTGATTATCTCATAGACCGCTTGAGACCCCAATCTGCTGACTGCAGTTTAAATAGAATGTCCAGTTAGAACGTGCAGTGAATGTAACATAAATGATATGGCCAAGAGTTAAATTAACTTAATCACCAATTGTCACGTTTGATTCACCTTGAACACTATGGATCCAAATACTGCTGGGTGAGTTTCACTTTCTTTTTCTTATCAGTCTTCAAACTACCCCTCTAACACTCTCCTCTCTTCCTTTTGAGGAGTTGTGAAGAGACCCAGTGGACAGTACATTGAAGTGAGCTTTTCAAGAGATTTATTAAAACCATTAGTCATTTAGAAAAGCTGCTAGATGGACACAATTAAATCTTATTCCCCAAGTCACTTCCATCAGCCAGATGCCTTTCCAGAGGAATGCTGTGAGCGTGAGGAGAGGAGAGCAGGGGACTTCCACAGGTTATCAAATCAGCTTTCACATACTGTACAGTAGGGTTTATATCCTCAATAGTATATAGGTACCTTCACTTTATATATTAACCGTTCTCCAGATTTTCCTTATAAAACAGCTTTAATATCCATATGATTTATTATGTCTTAGTTCTCAACAAACAGTGAGTGAACAATTGTAATATTATAAAAGACTCAGGACACCAGTTATTTTTCTAGGGATCATCACTTTATTTTCTAAATAAAATATGATTGCCATCATCATCGGCCTGTTTCACAGTGTGCATACATAATACAGTGCACTTTTTCCCCATGTCCATTATTGAAAGATGTCACATTAAAATATTACATTAACAATGGTCCACCAAAGCAGCCATCATCCTCAGTAACCCTTCAATACCCCGAAAGAAACCCCCCGGACACTGACAGACACACAGGTCCTATCCAGCTGTACTTTAGGACCATGACCAGACGACACTTTTACCCAACGTAGGCAACACATTAAAAAGTGCCTATAATGTAGTTTACCACAGACGCACCAGCTCTATCCATCAGTAACACAATGAAAACATTTTGATGTGTCATTTACTATGTACAACGACATACCGATTTAGTAGCGCAACGTACAAATTACTTAAGAACAACAATAATGACAGGAATGTCATAGCTTAAGACCTCTTATAACCAGTACCCTAACCCTATCGTGTGGAGCGACACATGCAAAGGAAAAGTGAAGTGCATTCCATCTTTTAAGAGAAAGGGATAGATAACACAAGGAGAGGTATGAAAAGGAATGAATTGTTATTGCGTCCATCTTAAAACGCAGCTACTCAGTAAATCTATTATTTGCAGATCTGGGTTCAAATACCAATTGAAATAATTTCAAGTACTTTAGCTGTTCTTAATTCTGCTTGCCTGCTGGCGCAATGGAACCAATAGAATTGCGCTGGCAAAACTGCAAACCCCGCCCCCCTGGCAGGTTAAAGAAAACTCAACACTATTTTTGAATGAATTCAAATAGTATTTAAACCCAGGTCTGATTATTTGGCACTGTGTGGCGACTCCACGGGAGTGCCTGGTTGCGTACATGTTGAACCTGGGATAAAGAGGAAGAACAGATAAAGACTAGGGGTCACGTTCATTAGGCACCAAATGGAAGAAAACGGACTGAAAACGGGGAGAGACTATCTGGACTTGTCCAACGATACGAACTTCCCGTACTCATTTTCCGTTGCGTGGTCCTAATGAACGTGACCCAGGCGTTTTCCCCGACCTGACAAGTATAAACTCTGGGCCATCAATGTATACCTATATAACTAGGGCCTGTTTTTTTTCCCTGGTGGTCAGGAGAAAACTCCTGTTCCTACAAGATAACATTTTTTGAACTAGCTACAATAGCGTGTTTTAGGATGCAGTCTTGTTGCTAGACAATCCTAGCATGAGAATGAATGGAGCCTCTGAAATCACTTCTGCCTCAGATGTAACTGTAAAAGTGGGTACACGGGGTGGTTTAGAACTGTCCTTACTGACAGACAGCCTCCTTGGACATGGCTGATTACTGCTGATCCTTGTGTGTAGGGACGTGACGGTCATAGAATTTTGTATGACGGTAATTGGTTAGCCAAATGACTGCGGTCACCGTAACAACCGTTCGAATAGCAAAAAATTACAAATGAATAAATATAGACGCACATTTCTCCTCTACTTCTCTCCTGACCGCATGTGCTGCCATAGAAATTGAATGAGTAGAACGGACATCCGCATTCAAGTCAATGATGGTATAATGGGTGGACTGGCAGCCATTGCGAGTGTACCCATAGCAGCAAAGCAGGAAGTAAAATATGTGCTGTGATTTGCTGATTCAACTCAATAGACATTACAAAAAAATACAGTACATTCCATTGCATGAGCCACATCAGTTAACATCATTTGAATGAACATTCTACATTACAACAAAGTTTAATCATGTTGTTAAGAGTCCATGTTGCAGCAGAAATGGAATCAACCCCACGAATGCCCGGCGGTCCCGTCTTCAGTCAGCTGTTCGTTCAACAAAACAACATTTATTTTATTTTTTACGGTAATGGCGGTTATTTTATTTTCATGACTGTCTTCATCCATAACCGCCGGTTACACGGTAATAGTGCCAGCCCTACTTGTGTGTTTAGGTAGTTGATCCACTAGACTAGTGTGAATAAATAGGGTGGAGGCTGGAGGCTCACAGCACAGAAAGGCTAAATTCCAAATCAACCCCTAGCCCCTCCCCTCTAGCCCCTCCTCTTGACCTGAAGGGGATGGATAGCTATAACCAATATGGTGGAAATTCCATCCAGCAGGTAAATACCATCAGGAGGCAAAGTTGAAGGAAGTAACTAGCATATTGCCTCTACCTTTCCAATCCCTTCAGGTCTACAGGAGTGCCTAGGGAAGAGGGGATAGGGCTCGATTTGGAATTCAGCTAAACACAAAGATCAGCGGCCGTCAGACCCATTGGCCTAACCCTAACACACTGGTCAACATTCTCTGAATGCGCTAAAGAGAAATTCCAAACATTTCAACAGATTTCATTATACTGCTCCAAAGTGCTATGAATGTTTTTCTATACATGGAGGTATAGTCTTTGGTCACTAATACATACTTTCAAGGACTAATTCAAGTTCCACTGTCAACATGTAAAGTACCATATCATTTTCTTAGAAAGCAGTAACATGAAGAAAACAGAAAAAGCAAATTAAGTAATGAATGGCAGGCAGGATGTTTGTGTTCAATGGAAGTGGCCCATAGCTTCAGCTGCCTTGACTCTCACCACTGGGTCTGGGTCCTGGAGCAGCATGACCAGACCTGTGAGGCAACACACACAACACAGTATGAGGTCATAGTCTTCCCTCAACTAATGTCTGACAGAAGACAATGAGTATGAAGTAGATTTCCCTGATCACTTGGATCTGAGCAGGAATAACTCCTGGCCCTACGTATACAAGCACCTTTAGTTACAGTATCAACACATGGAAGGAGCACTCAACACAGACTACAACACACCAAACAACCGTTACAACACACGCAACTCAGCAACAGTCGCAACTAGCAACTCGACAACAGTCGCAACACACCCAACCCAACAACACAGCCGACCCAACAACACAGCCGACTCAACAACACAGCCGACTCAACAACACAGCCGACTCAACAACACAGCCGACTCAACAACACAGCCGACTCAACAACACAGCCGACTCAACAACACAGCCGACTCAACAACACAGCCGACTCAACAACACAGCCAACTCAACAACACAGCCGACTCAACAACACAGCCGACTCAACAACACAGCCGACTCAACAACACAGCCAACTCAACAACAGTTACAACACATCCAACTTGCTGGTGAACTAGAACTAGAAAAACAGCTATGCCTACCTTTGGTCACACTCCCCATGTTGATGTGAGAAAATAATTCCTCAGGAAGATTACCCAGAAGGAAACCTACAAAGAAACGTTCGATTAGATACATATTTAAGTGAAAATCTCTACCAATGGTAAATTAGAGAGAATATTTGGTTTGTGCAAACAGCTTGATTACTACTCTCTTTTTGAAAATTACAACTAATTATATGACATTTATCTAATATTGTAACAGAGCTCTGTCTGAAAAACGATCAATACTTTTCTAACTCATAACTGACTACAAAGTCATTGGGACAGCTACTGAGGCTAAGACACAGAGCAGAGCTGTGTTGAGCAGGGTTTTGGGTCAATTCCAGTCAATTCAGAAGGTAAACCAAATTCCAATTCCAAATGTATCATTTAAAAGAATTGGATTTCATTGTACTTCCTGAATTGCCTGGAATTTAAATGGAATAGACCCCAACCCTGGTGTTGAGGTGAAGTGAAGTTGAGGAAACAGAGTTGATCAAAGAGAACCGAGACATCGTTTTCCTACCTACCGATAAACATAGCAGCGCTGGCCCGAACCTCGGCCCAGTTGCTTTTGAAGAACTGGATAACGGTGATGTGGTAGAAGTTGAGCATGCCAGGGAAGTCTTGAATCTGGGGACAAATGAAATAACATTTCTATCATACCCTCCCAAAAACAGAAAAATAAAAGTAACCTTTTTAAAATAAATGCAGCACAACATTATTATTCAAGGTGGGTTTCCAATGCAACTTGTCTACTGATTGCTTAGCGTGCAATGCATTTAAAAAGCTTTTTACTAGGTAAATAATTGCCGCCTCCTAATGCCAGATCTCCATTACTGGTTTTGATGGCCGATGGTGAGGTCTGTATCAGTTTGTGAATGGTGAGTAGAGAATTACAGTATTAGACAGTGATCAACTCACAATATATTTGGTGAGGTCGTTGATGAATTCTCCGTAGTGCAGACTCTTGTCCTCGTGGAGATGGTTCTGGAACATAGTGGTGATCAGCTCTGAGCCCACCACTGGAGCACACACTCGCATGGCATACTTACATGCCTGCACGGACAGACGGACAGACAGGGAAACAGTCTTTAAGCCTACCATCTGCATCTCAGCACAAAGGCTGCTTCAGTTCAATCCACATGATAATGACATAATAATGTATCATTTACTTAAATCTATGATATAAACCAGACTATATCATATGAATTCTAGGTATGTAAAGCACATGACTGCAAAGAAAACTAGACAACAGGTATACTGTACCAAACATCAAACCAGTTTCTAGAACCATAGTTTCCCCAAGTCCACTGCCTGAGTTTTGATGTGAGGTTACCCACCTTGACCACCTGCAGGTTGGGGTCACTGAGGTGCAGCAGCAGGCTAACCAGAACGTTGTGGATCTGGTCCTTGAACACAGGCTCTCCTGAACCAAACTTAGACAGGTTCCCCAGGAGCATGATGGAGGCACAGCGGATCTCATCATTCTCCTGTTGGGTCAACAGTACAGGAGCGCAGTTAGAGGATCCACCCTAAACCCATCATCAACATTTAATACATTTGGCCATTTAGCAGATCAAACCCTTCTTATCCAGAGCGACTTACAGTCTAACATCCATTTAATTGAAACAAGATTGTCCTTTTCTTGATACTGTAAACTTTTACATGAGATACTCATTTGGCCCTGAGAAACTAGGAACTCAAAATACCAAATATCACATATAGACTGGTAACATTCTCCCTTATCCTGAGAAGAGAGAAGTGAAACGTAATATAAGCCTTACAAGTGTGTTTTAGCCCTGTCACAAGCATCCTCCTCAGAGGCCACTACTCTCTAAGGGAATGGTGTAATTTCACCTTAATCTCTATCTCTCAGGTAGGGGAGTTACCAAGAGAGAAAACCAAATGTTAGGGTTCCCAGACGCTCGATATGGACTGACATCAGGCATGGTTAAAATAATCTTAAAGACCCAACCACAACCGAGTGGCGCAGTGGTCTAAGGCACTGCATCGCACTGCTAGCTGTGCCACTAGCTCTGTCATAGCCGGCCGCGACCGGGAGACCCATGGGGCGGCGCACAATTGGCCCAGCGTCGTCCAGGGTAGGGGAGGGAATGGCCGGCAGGGATGTAGCTCAGTTGGTAGAGCGTGGCGTTTGCAACGCCAGGGTTCGATTCCCACAGGGGGCCAGTATGAAAAATAAAAAAATCATGTATGCACTCACTAACTGTAAGTCGCTCTGGATAAGAGTGTCTGCTAAATGACTAAAATGTAAATGTAAATGATGCTTGCAACAACTCAGGTGAAACTTTATTTCTTATGTTATTAACTAGAAAAGGCCCTTGAGGTAAGAAACCTCTTGTGCAGGCAACCTTGCAAAGTTTCAGTGATCAAGTCAATAGACTACAGCTACAGTACATAGAGCCAATGTACACCTAGACCAGGATTCAACTCTTTATTTATTGTTATTTAACCCTTGTTTTACCAGGTAAGTTGACTGAGAACACATTCTCATTTACAGCAACAACCTGGGGAATAGTTACAGGGGAGAGGAAGGGGGATGAATGAGCCAATTGGAAGATGATTAGGTGGCCATGATGGTATGAGGGCCAAATTGGGAATTTAGCCAGGACACCGGGGTTAACACCTCTACTCTTACGATAAGTGCCATGGGATCTGTAGTGACTACAGAGAGTCAAGACACCCGTTTAACGTCCCATCCAAAACACGGCACCTTACACAGGGCAATGTCCCCAATCACTGCCCTGGGGCATTGGGATATTTATTTTTTTACCAGAGGAAATAGTGCCTCCTACTGGCCCTCCAATACCACTTCCAGCAGCATCTGGTCACCCATCCAGGGACCGACCGGGACCAACCCTGCATAGCTTCAGAGGCAAGCCAGCAGTGGGATGCAGCAGGGTGCTAATTCTACCATGACAACAGAGACGTGTGTGTCTGCTCTACTCACACTCTCCAGGAAGGGTTTGATCTTCATGAAGATGTAGACGACCAGCAGGTGGACGTTCTTCTTGTCCAGGTAGAGGAGCACCTTGGACAGGCCTGACATGGCTTCCAGAGTGATGCGTTTCCCAGGGTCGTCCTTCTCCTCCATCCCAGAGCTCATAGCAGCCAGCAGCTCCTTGGCATACTTATTTACCTAGAAAAATTGAGATTTTGTATAGGTTGTGATTACAGAGATCCATATTTGTCTGAAACATTGCTCCGCTCTGCTGCCATCTTGGTTGGACCAGAGTGGTATAGTACAAAGTAGGATCAATGAATTAGCCAGATAACTTGCCTACATATTCTGGAAAAACTTTTTTTTAAGACAACAACCAAAAACTGTTTAGATTTCTTAATAAACCAGAAAATCAATAGTTATTTTGGGTTGTTATCTAGCTAACTCATTGATCCTGCTCTGTAGTATATCCCTCTGGTATCTCTTGAAAAACAGATTTTATCGCAATGAGACTACCTGAATAAATAAAGGTAAAAAAAATAAAAATAAGATTACATACTTAGAGATTACATACTTGGTCACTAGGTACACGGACAGAGGTTAGTGACACTCTCTTTCTCTCCACCCCCCTATGTGCATAGAGTATATCCCTATAGTATCTCTTGAAACTTTTTGCCAGCGTAATATTGCCACATTGAGGTAAGATTATTCAGTCATACCTTCTCAGGTGATCTCACAGCAATGTTCCCCAGCCCACTGACAAACAGCACGCCCCCTCCCCTCCCTCCATCATGTACCTTCTCAGGTGATCTCACAGCAATGTTCCCCAGCCCACTGACAAACAGCACGCCCCCTCCCCTCCCTCCATCATGTACCTTCTCAGGTGATCTCACTGCAATGTTCCCCAGCCCACTGACAAACAGCACGCCCCCTCCCCTCCCTCCATCATGTACCTTCTCAGGTGATCCCACGGCGATGTTCCCCAGCCCCCTGACGGCCAGCATGCGGACGGTACAGCAGGGGTCAGAGATACGCTCCATCATGTTGTTCATCAGGACATCCATCATCATCAGCTCTGTCACCACGTGGTGGTTCAGCAACTACCGTTACACAGACACAGAACAGTGTGAAGCCAGTGGTTCATCAACCTAAACACCGCTCTAGTTCTGCCACCTTTCACCGCAGATGTGGAAGGGCGACATCAGCGGATGTAGTGGATTGAGACGCAGCCCATGCAAAAAATCTCATTAGCATAAATGAAAAATCCCCATCAAAATGTTTTTTTGCATGGGCTAGGTCTCAATCCACTACATCCGCTGATATCGCCCTTCCGCATCTGCGGTGAAAGGTGGCAGAGATAGAGCGGTGTTTGTCAGACCATGAGACATCCCGAAAATCGATCTTCTCACAAAAACTTCTGTAGCGTCCGAACGGTTTGGCCCACAAAACTATTATGACCCCTCTATGGAAAGATGAGACTCTCACAAACACGATGTTCTCAGTTTTGCTCTACGCCCCTCCACAAGCGTCACAGGACTCGTCTGAAGTCGGTACATCCGATCTGCCAACTTCTGTCTGTAGCGTCTGAACAGTTTGGGCTACACACTAATATGACCCCTCACCAACACGTACATGTTGTTTGTTTTACTCTAGGACGCCCACAAGCCTCACAAGACTAGTCTGAAGGTAGCCGGGAACCAGTAAAAAAATGTAATATGGAAGTCAGTCTATGTCATGGAAAGAGCTGGTGTTCTTAATGTTTTGTATACTCAGTGTATATCATTATATACAAGGGCTTTTTCCTGTTAAATGGCTGCATTCATGAACATCACATTGCAAGTTTAAATGCTGAATAAAAGCAGGGAAGAGTTGGCTTGCTATATAACACAGATCAAATATATAGAGCAGAAAAACACTCCAAATAAAACACTCCAGATAAAACACTCATCAGCAGTCGAATCACTGCTCTGTTCTAGTAAAAGTAGCAAGTAAGTTTCCCTCATCCAATGTAAAGAGTTTTGAGAACCTGGAAAAGGGCTATATAAATCCACTATTATCATTTCTATTACTATTATTATTATTATTATTATTATTAGGTAACTACAGTGAGGGAAAAAAGTATTAAATCCCCTGCTGATTTTGTACGTTTGCCCACTGACAAAGAAATTATCAGTCTATAATTTTAATGGTAGGCTTATTTGAACAGTGTGAGACAGAATAACAACAAAGAAATCCAGAAAAACGCATTTCAAAAATGTTATAAATTCATTTGCATTTTAATGAGGGAAATAAGTATTTGACCCCTCTGCAAAACATTACTTAGTACTTGGTGGCAAAACCCTTATTGGCAATCACAGAGGTCAGACGTTTCTTGTAGTTGGCCACCAGGTTTGCACACATCTAGGAAGGATTTTGTCCCACTCCTCTTTGCAGATCTTCTCCAAGTCATTAAGGTTTCGAGACTGACGTTTGGCAACTCGAACCTTCAGCTCCCTCCACAGATTTTCTATGGGATTAAGGTCTGGAGACTGGCTAGGCTACTCCAGGACCTTAATGTGCTTCTTCTTGAGCCACTCCTTTGTTGCCTTGGCCGTGTGTTTTGGGCCATTGTCATGCTGGAATACCCATCCACGACCCATTTTCAATGCCCTGGCTGAGGGAAGGAGGTTCTCACCCAAGATTTGACGGTACATGGCCCTGTCCATCGTCCCTTTGATGCGGTGAAGTTGCCCTGTCCCCTTAGCAGAAAAACACCCCCAAAGCATAATGTTTACACCTCCATGTTTGACGGTGGGGATGGTGTTCTTGGGGTCATAGGCAGCATTCCTCCTCCTCCATACACGGCGAGTTGAGTTGATGCCAAAGAGCTCGATTTTGGTCTCATCTGACCACAACACTTTCACCCAGTTCTCCTCTGAATCATTCAGATGTTCATTGGCAAACTTCAGACGGGCATGTGTATGTGCTTTCTTGAGCAGGGGGACCTTGCGGGCGCTGCAGGATTTCAGTCCTTCACGGCGTAGTGTGTTACCAATTGTTTTCTTGGTGACTATGGTCCCAGCTGCCTTGAGATCATTGACAAGATCCTCCGTGTAGTTCTGGGCTGATTCCTCACCGTTCTCATGATCATTGCAACTCCACGAGGTGAGATCTTGCATGGAGCCCCAGGCTGAGGGAGATTGACAGTGCTTTTGTGTTTCTTCCATTTGCGAATAATCACCCCACCTGTTGTCAACTTCTCACCAAGCTGCTTGTCTTGTAGCCCATTCCAGCCTTGTGTAGGTCTACAATCTTGTCCCTGACATCCTTGGAGTGCTCTTTGGTCTTGGCCATGGTGGAGAGTTTGGAATCTGATTGATTGATTGCTTCTGTGGACATGTGTCTTTTATACAGGTAATCCCTTTAAGAGTGTGCTCCTAATCTCAGCTCATTACCTGTATAAAAGACACCTGGGAGCCAGAAATCTTTCTGATTGAGAGGGGGTCAAATACTTATTTCCCTAATTAAAATGCAAATCATTTTATAACATTTTTGACATGCGTTTTTCTGGATTGTTTTCTCTCACTGTTTAAATAAACCTACCAAAATTATAGACTGATAATTTCTTTGTCAGTGGGCAAACGTACAAAATCAGCAGGGGATCAAATACTTTTTTCCCCTCACTGTAACTCCCTGACAGAATGTCAGTGAGATGACAGGAGGACTCCCGAGTCCCAACCCTGAGGCCCCAACCCTGAGGCCGATGTCACACGAAGCAATCGGAATGCAATTTATGTTGCTCACCTTACAGAATTGCATCTGGGTTGCTCAGTGTCACACCCCAAACATCGCCTGCAACTTAGTTGCATTGCATCGCATGAGATAGAAATCAATCCTATTTCACACAACCAACTGTATGCAATGTCCAATCAGTGAGCAGAAAAAAAGTTTACATGACTCATCCTTTGGAACTCTGATCCAGTTGTCATGTCAACACAGCGGTCAGTGCTGCTGCAAACCACGACAAAAGAGACATGCCAAATGGGAAATGTATAAAAACATTCTAGACACCATGTCTAGTCATGGTTTATGTACATGGTCTGGCAGTCAATTAATGTAATTTTTAAAGTGAACCCAGACCTTTCTCTTTCCAACATGAACTGCCCTAGCTAGTTAGCTTAGTTCATCGCTAGCTTGGTTTGCTAGCTAGTTACAGTAGCTTGGCAAAACATGGTTGGCAAATAGGTAACATTTTGGCTAGCTAGCTAAATTGTACAGGCAGCATTTTGTCTATATCGATTATGTTACAATTACCAAACGTTTGGCTAAACAAATCATTTATGAAACCGTGATGTGATGTATGACAGGAGTGATGCTGCATGCAATTTCAATTGCATTTGAATTGCTTCGTGTATCAGCAAAGTTGCTTGAGATGTCACTTGCAACTTGCATCTGCAACAGAAATTGCGTCCAAATTGCTTTGTGTGACACAGGCTTTAGATGATTGCAGATCTGAAGGGTCTGGATAGGTATAATCAGTGTAGTGGTGGACATTATACCATTTGCTTCCTTCTTACAGACCTACAACAGTGGGTCCTGGGCTTGGCTCACCTCAGAGAAGAAGGCTGTGATAGTGACCCTCTGACACTCGTAGATGTTGTTGAGACAGGGGCACAGACACTCCACTATGGCCGGGAGACGGGGGCCTGCGTGCCTGGCCATGGCCCTGAAAACAACACAACACCACACCGCTCACACCAACTGATACAGCATATAGGGTAGCTACTCTGTGAATATCATGAAGCTAGGTTAGGGTTGAGGTTGAGGGTTGAACTGGGATGTGGACAAGAAGCTAGAGTTAGGGTTAGGGTTGTGGTTGAGGGTTTAACCGGGATGTGGACATGAGGCTAGGGTTAGGTTTGTGGTTGAGGCTAGGGTTGAACCAGGATGTGGGCATGAAGCTAGGGTTAGGGATGAGGTTAAGGTTGAACTGGGATGTGGACATGAGGCTAGGGTTAGGGTTGAACTGGAATGTGGACATGAAGCTAGGGTTAGGGATGAGGTTAAGGTTGAACTGGGATGTGGACATGAGGCTAGGGTTAGGGTTGTGGTTGAGGGTTAGGGTTGAACTGGAATGTGGACATGAAGCTAGGGTTAGGGATGAACTGGGAGGTGGACATGAAGCTAGGGTTAGGGTTGAACTGGGATGTGGACATGAAGCTAGGGTTAGGGTTGAACTGGGATGTGGACATGAAGCTAGGGTTAGGGTTGAACTGGGATGTGGACATGAAGCTAGGGTTAGAGTTGAACTGGGATGTGGACATGAAGCTAGGGTTAGAGTTGAACTGGGATGTGGACATGAAGCTAGGGTTAGGGTTGAACTGGGATGTGGACATGAAGCTAGGGTTA